ATGATAATAACACAAAATGGATCTGAAATTAATTAGAATTGCATTTTTAAAATTTCGGCCGCGCTCTAAAAAGGTAACCCTGATCAAGCCAATAGCCGGGGTGACTGAAGTGCTTTCGCGTAGTTACTTTGCCTCGATTCCGGTATGATATTGCGATAATAAATGAAATTCATTCTTTATTCGGCAAAAGCTGATATATGTAGATCATGAAACCTGATTCTTAGACATTTTCCTTACGTACTATAGAAGATAAGTGAGCGAGGTCAGTTGACTGTGGCAAAACTTATTCTTTACTGTTAAGTCCGTTTGAGAACATTTTTTATCAGAATTTAAAAAAAAGTATATTTTTAGTGAAAATATTGACTTAGAAATAAGAAACATTATGGATTTTGAAATGGAAAAGTTATCAAACGTTGTGTATTTCAATCCCGATGAAAATTTTTATTAAATTGTGACAATAGAGTACCCAGAAATAGTAAATAAAACACAAAATGTTAAATTATTCTTCAAAATTTATTTTGTCGCCTTTAAAGTAATCCCTACCAGATGTAATACACTTATGCCAACGATTTTTCTAGTTCTCGCAAGCAATTTTTGGCAAGGCCTTCTGATCCTTCTGCGAATTTTGTTTTATCTCTTGGAAATTCGATGCAATGGTGCATTACCATCGTGTAAAATTCATGGATTGTTCTTACACAATTCCGGTCGTTTTTGACGAATGTTCTCACGCAAGGGCCTTAATACGGTCAAATATAACTCCTATTGACCACCAGATCAAGAATATTTCAAAAATACAATGCGAATCGCCTTGAATTTTCCCCATGAATGTGGGATCGGAATTCGCACGATCAAGCATGTCCAAAGGGATCCGTTTACGGTACTCTTTTTGAAAAAAATTCAGTCATAACGGGACGAGTGGAGCGAGAACGCGTTTCATAAGCAAAAATATCCACCAAAATTATTTGAATGGACTAGCTAGAGATATCGACGACTGATGATTTTCAAGCACCACATCCTTCAACACTTTATACTCTCGCAACAAAGTTGCTAAAGAGAGTATTATAGTTTTGTTCACATAACGGTTGTTTGTAAGTCCTAAAACTAAAAGAGTCAGATATAGGGT